TTAAAAAATTACAAATAAATATTTAACATGCGGTTAAACATCAATTAGAAAGAAATTTCATTTATACGTAATAATAGTTGCTGAGGTTGTGAATTGAAAAGCATTTCATATTGATATTCATGAATATGCGACTGGAATTGTCCAAGTTATTTGCTTTGCTGAGGCTTCTATTTAGTGCTTCATATGTTACTTATAATTCACTTATCTTACTGACGGATAAATGTAGTAGTATCTATAAATTAAAATCACAGTAAATTGAATTTTATAAAATAAAATCTTGTGGTTTTCAAATTTTTTAAAAAGTCAAAATTCTCTAAATTTTAGGCAAACTTTGTACTTGTCATAAAGTACCAAATTCTTTTCTCTATTCTGGAGCTATTTTTTTGTACTAATAGAGATTGACGACAATCAGCTATATAAAATGGCAATGCTCGTCAGAAGTAACCTGCCCCATAACTTTCCATAGATCATGTCCACAAAGAACATTACAAATGCTGTTTGTTGATAACTTTTATAGATTGGTAAAGCTTCTATATTGGGTGTTGTATGTTCACGTCCCAATACGTACATGTCTAATCAGTTATTTCATAACGCACATCTAATTCTTGACGTTTAGTTATCTGATTTGAACAAATATACAAACATTCGGTTTGCACAGTCGAGTTGACTCAAATGGTAGTAATTTTGTTCAAATTGGATCACTGGCCGTCGAAATATTACGTCTTAAAGTAGCAGATTCATTTTTTTGGTATATATAATAAAAATGAATCGATCACAGTAGATGTAATGTCTCGATCTCCAGTGATCCGATTCGATCAAATACATGTATACTACCATTCGATTCGTCTTGACTAAGCAAATCGAATGATATTGTTTTATTTAAATTGGATCGAGATGTTACATCCTACAGTGACTCACACAAGAAATGGAAACACGCGATCAAAACTTTCTAGAATTTTTACCTTCGTAATATTATTCTAAACAAAATAAAAAAGTCATTTTGAACTACAAGACCTCTAGTATTTTTAAAAATATTTTGACAACAGATTATTTTAGCCAATTTTGCAAAACTGGGTAATTTAAATTAAAATTTTCAATTAGTAAATTTCTCACATTGAAGAACTTTTTTTCTATGAAGGATTCAAATTTGACCACTAATTAAAAATGCTATACACAAAATCCGCCTATGTCCCAATTTTCATAAAAAGTGCTCAAAATTTATCGATATTTAAGATCCAGAAGGTTCAAATCTCTGCTAGGAGCATTAATTCGACTATTTATTTACTAACAGAGATTTAACCTTCAAGATTTTAAATCTCGATAAATTTTAAGCCAATTTTGTAGAGTATAACATTTTTAATTAGTGGTCCAAATTTGAATCCGTCATAGAAAAAAGATCTTCAATGTGAGAAATTTACCAAATAATTTGTTGTCAAATTATTTTTAAAAAATATTAGTATTTTAAGGTTTCAAATGAACACTTTTTTATTTTGTTCAAACTAATAGTCATGGAAATAAAAAATTCTATAAAGTAAATTTTCGTGTTCCTTTACATGTGTGAGCTACTCTGTATATATATATATATATATATATATACATTTTTGCTTCTAAATATTTAGGTTCTACGACTATTTTCAAAAAAAGCATGTTTGCTTACAACTCTGGTATAGGTATGTTCCAACTAAATTAAATGAAGGTATACGAATTTTAAGTTCTAATGCTAAAAAAATGGGATGGTGCTTATTCTGGACATTTCCTCGCAATTGCTATTAAGGCGATTTTAGATATATTTTTGCTACTTTTAGATTGAAATAGGGTGATACAGATTACGACATATTTTTAAAGTCAGCATACTGATACATCATAAGGGTTTGATATTAGTTTAAAAGAATGCATAGCCGAAAGTTCAAATTAAATCTCAACAAAACTAACGGTTCAAATAAACGTAAATTCAATAACAGTGGAGACTAGATAAAACGAATATTGAAAATTTGTCGTAAGAGCCAGGATAATAGTGATGACATTTTATCTATCAAAATGATACGTAGTCAAGATTCCGTATATTTTACGTGCATTTACGTACGTGCTTGCTTTTTATATTATAGGGTTAGCATACGCTGTATCTGATATCAGATTTAAATATTTTCAAATAGTATTAATAACGTAATGCATTGATACTAAAAATTGTTTAAAATCCGTTACGTGATCCATTATTCCACGTGAATTTACTATTGGTTAATAACGATAATGCGCTAAACGATATTTTAAATTATAACTAGTCATTCAATTTCATTAAGCAAAAAACTGACTGTCTAGCCAATAATGTTCTTTTTTGTTATAGTTACAATTTTGCTAGAACAGATTTTTTGCTTAATGAAAATTGAATGACTAGTTATAATTTGAATATTCAGGGGGTCGGTTTATGCTGTCCGGCATTGTATCAAATAAGACTACGTACTGAACGTATATACCGTACGTTCTACCGTTGCGTCAATCGGTAAAAATTAGTTAGAGAGGGTTTTTTCGCAACTGGGATAGCTAGGCTAAATTATTTACAGTTAAAGGAATTTGGATGCTCTAAAGGCTTCCTGTGGCGACTTGTACGCAAATCGACCTTTTCTCAACAATAGAGGGTGTTTTAAAAAAAAGGGAGTAGAATAGAATTACTCTTGTAACAAGAATCAAAAACGTTATAGTAAAATTTTGTTTATTCAATAATAAATGTAATCGCAAACATAACAGGACTTATTGATATGCCCTGTTCAAAGAAAAACTCAATACTAAAAGGCAATTCAACACGGCTTATTGCTACGGCCTGTCTAAGAAAACAAAATCAATTCTAAGGACTTATTGATACGGCCTGTCTAAACTAATAATTCAAAAGAAATCGACGGCTTATTTAGAGTGGAGGAGCATCCATCCACTACTTACAATTTCTCGCAAGGTTTGAAGTTTGATCACCAAACAAAAGAAAATAATAGTGTATTTACAAGTAATATTATTACTACAAGTAAGAACTTTGTTATTTTATTCGATCAAAGCATGTTCTCAGAGACCCCTAAGTAATTATATATACAATTTTGAATCACTATAATTCTACGGTTAGCATTTTACATTGATGGTTTCTCTTAGAACAACTAGACAATAATCGTTCAATGTCTTTCAATTGTCGTCCTCTTGATAATCACTGCACTGTCGTTACGTGCATTAATATTGAAGAACGATGGGATGTTCATGACACAAGAAAAAAAAGGTAATGCTCATTCATAACGAAATATTTCTAAAATATGAATTACACAAGAGACTACGTAATCATGGAAATTAAAGGCTTTAATGTTACTACGGTAGCACTACATGTAATTGATCAATTATAGCCCATAATACATGTACATGTGTTACGCAATGGGTACCGTTACGTCATGATTGTATCATTATTATATCATTATGAAGGCATCGTTTTATTCAATGTCTTTTTAGAAGTTAGTTTCATTTTCTATTTTACGTATATCGATATCAATATGTACAACAAACTTTATTCAAATGTTGATAACGGAGTTGTCGATTTTCAATTCCTAAAGAATTTCTGTGAATTGGATGATTTACGTATCATTCTATGAACTTGACTTTACTCGATGGGGAATTTGATTCTTAATTTGAATTTCCTTTATTTACAAAAATGTATTGAAAATAGCTTTGTAATACTCTCAAGACATAAAATAGTACCAATAATTACATTCGAGTTCTTTTTTTACCCCTTCAAAATTCCTTGTAAAACTTATACGGAGATATTTTTGTGCGAATAAAATATTTGCTTTGCATTAAAATTTATATCAAATGCACAAAATTCTGGATCAATTTGTTTCTCTTAAATCAGGGTTAATAGGAATGCTTTAGATCATATCGATATTAGACATATAACCCACAGTAACACCAACTGATTCTAACATTAGATTCCATCAGAGTAGTTTAACACTAACATTAAACAACTTCATTTTGTAATACAATAAATACAATATTACATTTCTGATTATATTATTAATGTTGATGTTTAAAACTATTAATTAATTGGTTGCTTTATGTAACTGACTCTTTGGTCGGGAAAAAAGTAAAAAATTGAATGGATGCCAGTATACAGTGAAACTGGATATAACGAATCCTGGGTAAAACGAATCTCTGAGTATAACGAAGAAAGATATTTTCTAATTTCGCTGTGTAAATCGAATCTCTGGATGCATGTACATGTACGTATAACGTAACGAAGAAAAAAGGTTGCACGACTCTTTGATATACGTATCTAGTTTCACTGCGTACGTATATCTATACATACCATCTAATCTCATTACCGTTACATAAAGCTAAAAGAGACTAGCATATCGAGAAAATGGAATCAAGCCTAGACAATGTGATCATCGTGCTTCCTGAACTATACCTTATTTGAATCCTTTGGAAGGATATTCCGGATAGAAATGAAGTTCATTCAGCACTCTGGAATAATATTGCATGATAATTTTTCAGGGCCTTTAACTTTTTTAAGTTAGTCACCTTTTCAATCATTTCTTGTTATCCGAGTCTAGCTTTTTATAAGTATGCCTGAAAGGAAATTAATAATATTTTCTAAATCATTATAAAAAATATTATCTCCTAATAAATCAAGGTTTCATTTGCCTTAAAAACACTCGGTCATGGGGTGTTTGAAAAAAAATTTGTAATGAGTTGGGATCTAGAAGCAGGTTTCACTTGGCGTACGAAATATATATGTTTTCAATTATATCGATATCATCATTATCAAAATTAAATTTGCGACTGTCTTTGCGTATATAAAAGAGGAAGAGGAACAACGGCAAAGATATAGTGAAATGAAATATTTTTTACTATTCATTGATCATAAAACCGATCACTTAAAAAGGTGCCTGCATGCAAAAGCTTTTTAAATTTCCCTGTTAAATAACGATACACCAAAGTTATACTAGAAATAAAGATATCATTCACTTACATTAAAAATGAATACTTACGAGTATTTAACAAATACCGAAAAACAACTTCTAAGTAAATGCTCCTATAACCTAACTCTCGCGATTGAAGAGCTAACTAAACCTTCTGCGAAAAAACGCGACAATCCTGACAAGCCACCAAGACCGCAAAACAGATGGATTATTTTTCGAAAAGATTATGAAGCTAACATACGTCTACTTAATCCAGATGTCAAACAAGAAGTTAAACGTACAGCGAAAGGATGCAGTTTAAAATGGAAATCGCAATCAAGAGAGGTCAAGGATTTTTTCAAGATATTGGAAAAAATAGCTTGTAAGAATCATGAACATATATATCCTAATTATAAATATAGACCAAAAACTTCAAAAGATTCAAGCTGTAAGAAGTTCATTTTTCGGGAACAAAAATACCCATTTACTTCGTCTGTCAAGTCTACTTCAATAAATGATCATTCATGTCAAGTGGCAGAAAGTAACGCGTCGCCCTCCTCAACATCGTTGGAAACTCATAACAACGTAAACATTAACAGATCGATCGACAATTCAAACGAATTTTTAATTTACAACAATAATTTGAACGATAATGATTATTTACTCGACGCAGACTTTAATAATATAAATAATAACATCATTGATTCTTCACCATTGTCACAAGCTCAAATATTTATCTTTGACTATAGTTTTTACAATTAATATGCCAAATATTGACCATTTACTTGCATTGCTCGGGTCTATTTGAGAGATAATTTCCCCTAACCTAGAATTTCAATAATTGTTTTTTTTTTAATTCTGAATGCAGTCTGACAACTAATAAATTTAATAAACCATAAGTCGTGCGTAAAAAACAGACTACAATAATCCCATACCTTTAGGAGAAATAAGAACCATAAGATGTGTGTAGTTAAACTTTTGAAATTCTCTTTCAAAACGGGCTATTTTTACGCAATATTCCGACTATAATTTGATTGTCCGACTCTTTAACGTGTTGAGTAACAAGGAATTCCTAATTGTTCCTTTTTATACATGTATAACCTAAAGATCTAATTGGAACGGATGTTTTATTTTATACAGTATACATATATTATATAAACGCATATCGATACATACATATCGCATTTGACTTAGAAAATCATTCGCATCATCATTACATCATCGTTATGTATTGTTAATCAATTACATTATACGTACATGTACATGTACCCTGCATATGCATAAGTACATTTTCATAGAAAACAAATCTATTTTAGTTACTGTTGCTTTGATAATAAAGTAATAAAGTATACGAAGGTAATATCGCTAATGCATGTATTAAGTAGCTAACGAACGAGAAAATCGAAAGTAACCAAGAACGAACGAACACAGAACAAAATCTTGCAAAATACATTTTTTTAATAAAAATTATTTGCGAGAATCAATATCGAGATTCTTTATTAATAATAATTATTTCATGAGAAAATTTTTTGACTATTGTTAAGACATGTGTTTACATATATTTTAGTAAATTAGTAGCTTTAAAAATTCATCGAAAAATGTACATGTTCAACTTCTGCACTGCATGCAATGCACACGGGTAAAAACAATTTGCAATTTAGTTTTTCGATGTTTAAATTATACGCGGTGGTTGTAAAACATCCATGTGAAAGCGCACATGCAGTAAGTGCAATAAAAAACAATTAATAAAACAAATATGCATAATCAAAGTAATAATTAATTCCATCCCATCGTCTTTGCTTCTTTTGTATACACCACCAATTCTGCATGACATCGGGATATTTGAGGTTAGTAGCATCTATATACGTAATACATGTAATAGTGTTTGAGCATACGTATTAAGTTTACGTGACAGTGATAATTCTATATAATCCATTATATAAATTTATGTGACAAATTTTTTCACATAATACTATAAATTTGCATGTCATGTGGTTTTACTGAAAGTCGTAACATTTTAATTTAATCATATATATAGAAATTACATGATAAAATATTCCTGATGATGGCGTAAATCCTACACGTAGAAACCTGCAGAATTTCTACGTATATCCATATAAATTGATAAAAATCCACGTGATAAACATATATAGATTCATACGGAATTTTCACGTATGAATTTATATAGGGTATCATAGTCTTATGTAAGGTCTACGTGAAACCCACAGGATGTTTCATAAAACTGTGTGGGATCTGTGGAAATAACACTTTTTTTGATTTATATTATATTAACACAAAAATGCATCATTTTAATGCAAAATAAACTTCCAAAATTTGACCATGCAAATGATATGGTGCATGCCATCTAAAGTCATCTTTACTAAGAAGTAAATACAAAATTTAATCCGTAAATATGATAGAATATACCCTTTCTGAGCATATTTACGGATTAAATTTTATATTTACTTCTTAGTAAAGAGGTTTATCCATTTTATAAAATACAAACATTTGATGACTTTAGATGGTATGCACCATAGTATAGTTAATCTCAAAATTCTAGCAAGTATGGTCATTGGTTCGCGAGGTATTGTGCAAACGTTCAACAGATTGAACTTAAATTTATCGTTATGCATTAGATTGTGATTGTTAAACTTAATTCAATAATCATTTTATAATTAAATCCGAATCCTGAAGTTACTCAATTGAGTTAAAAATATTTCATGTGACTTTAAATGTTATAACTCCTTACAAAAGAGGAATGTACAAAAATAAACTGATAAAATTATTCTACCACTATTTTTTTTACTTTCATAAGGTTATAGTCGGTCAAGTTAAACTGGCCAATCAAAAGATCAATTTAATCACGTGATACAATAAATTTTTTTGTGTCTGTTTCGGGACAGTGCTGAATCACGTGGTCTTTGACACAAGAAAATAGAAAATGTGAAAAATGTGAAAAATGTGGAAAACAGATGTCAAAACCTAGCTTGAAGCACTAATAAAAAATTATCAATTTATAAAGCATCCTGGTTAGACGGACCATTAACTAATAGATGGATCATGAAAGGAATAAATTTAAACAATAGGGGAAGATACAAAGTTGTGTTGAAATTATTGCTCAATTCAAATCAAATTACATCTAAGTTTATAAACGAGGTAAAATGAACACCTTTTAAAAGTGTAAGCATATTGCTTTTTGTTTTCAATATAATTAAATTTTCAAAATTAGATTCCGACTGCTCTAAAGTGCTATTACATTGGTAACTATATTCATTATTATGGAATGACTAAACACCCAGCTACAAATGAACACTCGATAGCGAAGCGAAGGATTATGCAAAAGACGGCGATCTACGCAAATATATTAATTCCAAAGACTACGATATCAGGGTTGTATAAAATTCATAATGAGGCATTTGTGCATTGTGACCTTCACCCTGGAAATATATTAATAAATACTTTTCCTACTATTGCACTTACCAAACCAGCAGATATAGAAAAATCTAAACAAAAAATTTACGGAGTATCTCCTTATATGAGTCCAGAGGTATTAAATGGAAAGCCATACACTAAAGCTGCAGATATTTATAGTTTTGGTATGATTACGTACGAAATTGCAACGGCGAGCAACATTTGGTGAGCGGAGTACGACCTACGATAGCAAATAATGTTCACGGATGGTGAAAATTTATTATTGAAAATGTTGGGATAATATTCCAGAAACAGACCAACTGCTAAGAAACTTGAAGACTTTATATGGTTTATCGACAAGAACGATGATATCTATGAGTGGTGGAAACCAAAAACTTAGGAGATTCTAAGAAGTCATATACTGAAAATGCAAAGACACATGAAGAAATTATTGAACTAGGAAGGTAGAAATTCAATGAGCTTGATGAGAAGATGAAAAAGCATTCCTAAAAAAATGAATAAAAAACCAGGATTCCTGCAAATGCGATTTACACCAGTCGAATCTTTACAGATACAGGTACCTTTTATTTCGAAATAAAAATCATATTAAGATTTCATGTTAATATGATTTATATCGAATGTTTAGGTTCCAAGCGAAGATAAACTTATATTTTTATTAACATAATTAATTCGTACGATTTTTACTTTGTTGGTACAAAAAACAGATTTCGATTAAGTACACTATTTGAAATTACCGATTTGGATGAAATTCTGATATCAGGTGGCTTGCAAAAAAAAGTAAAACTATGTGAAATCAAAGACAATGAAGAAGTATCGAGCGTCTTACAACAAAAACTACGAAACATCGACAACAAAATATGGCAATATCAAAAGAAAATACTACGCTTTATTGGAGAAATTGTAACTACTTTATACTTTTATTAAATTAAAATTATCAATAATTGTTATCAATTTCTTTGTGTTTATTTATATTCATCGTTATATTTATCAAATTTATTATTTTATTCATATAGGAATTATTCTCGTATGTATAACACAAACCACGATAATGTCATTTTTGTTACTTTCTTGATCCTAGCAATTTTACTCGATTTGTAAACGTTTACTATTAATCTAACAATCACGTAACAGTAACGTTAGTATTGTTCACATTATCGTGGTCATGACATAATTAATTTTGGCCAAATTATGACTTTTGACAGAGAAAAGCTACAACTAAGACCTGTTTTACAACATAATTTTGTTAATTCAAAAATCGGCGATCGTGTACAATAACTGAAGGTGCATACATTTCTTAGATCAAGAGTAGCTACCGCTACTGGGGTAATTACCATGACTTATGTAGTTGACATTAAAAATTTAATGTCACCTGACCAAAGTTATCGTATAGTTCCGAAATTAAGCAACACTTTTTGTATAAAGATGCTTAATTTCGGGTATATTCAATTAAATTCAATTCGCTCTTTCTCTCTGAAGTTGCATCACTAGTGTTTCGTCTGACTTGGATTATTTTTCGAAAGGATTAAGACATCTAATTGATCCTAATGTCAAACAAGAAGTCAAATCCAAGCACATTATCAAACTATTTTATGGCTTTGGTAATTTATTAGAATTGCCGTATTTTTTTGCAGAAAGTTTAGTCAGCTCTTGCGAGAGTTAGATTATAGAGACATTTTCTTCGAAGCTGCTGTCTTTCAGTTTCTGACAAATAATCGTAATTATTGATTCATTCAATGAATGGAATGATGTCTAATTTGATTTGTTACTATTCATTATTAGTGAAACACTTGTATAATACAAAGTTTGTATCTATATGATCAATGAATAGAAAACCGTTTTTTGTCCACTCCTCTCTTTACTTTATTTATATATGTGAGACTGCCATGATTTTAATCCTAACGATGATGAGTGATTTTGCTGCTTTGATTTCTCGCTTTTTTGATTTGTAATGCATAATATGATATGAATCAGCCCAAATTTACAATACTAAGTTGTATCACAGTGTCACATACTAGTGTCTGTATAGTCTTAGACAGGCAGGTCATTAGAGGCTAGTCCCTTTCGTGTATGTATCTGGGGATCCACGTTGTAATTTAGACTATTGTTGATTCATATTTTTGAATTTTACACGTAGATAGAACTTTGGTGCATAAATGATCAAACGTTTGTATTTTATATAAAATGTATAAAATTCTTTACTAAGTAAATACAAAATTTAATTCTTGAATATGTTCAAAAAGGGCCTATTCTATCGTATTCACCGATCAAATTTTACTTCTTAGTTAAGCAGTTTAATGAATTCAGAAAATATAATCTATTGATGTTATACACCATATGATTACTAGGGATGCTACCCAAACTAAAATTCAACAAGAGTAACCAAACCTAAATTAATATCTCAAAAATAAGCAATATAATTTGATTTGAACCGAATTTTAATTTGGGCTGCGAAATAATTCAAAAATGCAGTTTAGGACGCGCGTCACTAACCACCACCACAGTTATGTATAAGATATTGTACATGCAACGGTCACTGTCACTGCATTTATTCAAATAAGCAAACGATTGGCTGTCATTTGCTTATTTGAACAAATGCAGTGATAGTGACCATTGCATGTACAATATCTTGTACATATTACAACGTTAAGTGATTGCTATTGATATTGGAGAATCATATTGAATAAGTGCTGATGAATGGATGATATCTAATTATTATTATATAATATGCTACGTGTGCTAAATAGAAAGATACTTTAAGTGATTAGTTAGTTTTGACTGTATCTTTCGCCAGTTACAACAATATGAGCGATACTGAATGATTTACGGAAAAAGGGGGTTTTTTAGGCGTTCTAAAGGTCTCCTGTGGCAACTTGTACGCAAATTGACTCAACAAGATAGGGGTATTCAAAATAATAAAATCCAAATTATTTAACAAAATCAAAGTATTCTTTCAAACACAACAGGACTTATTGATATGGTCTGATCAAAAGGAAAACTCAAAATTAAAAACAAAATATCAATTACATGTACACAAGATACTAATTATGGAAGGATTATCATTTATGAATCATCAAGGGAAATTATGGAAGGATGTTCATGTAGAAATTAAGAATGAAAATTGCGGAATTAAAAGATATAATATCACTACAGTAACAGCACTCTTACAGACAAGTTTTAGAAATCATTACGTAATACTGTCACGTTTGGAATAAAAGATCAAGAAATAAAGAAAAAGTTTGTGACTGTCAATTAGGAGTTAGACTGAATGTTTTACGCAATAAAGGGTTCTTTATGGTTCTAGAGGTCTCCTGTGGCAGCTTGTACGCAAACTGACCAAAGTAATAATTAAAAAGGTTTAATTAATAATAACAACCGAAGGGCTTATTGAGACAGCATTCAAGAGAAATTAAAATACGAAATAAAATAAATAAAACGTCGGGTCTTATTGAGACTGTCCGAATTAAAAATACCAAAATCAATTGTTGATGATAATTCACAAGACTTATTGATATGGCTGTTAAAGGGTCAATAATCAAATCAGTTCACAGTTTAATCAAGTTTAAAAGTATGGCTTATTTAGAATAGAGGTCTTCTACTGTAAATTTTGTACGCAAACTTCCGAAGTCAATCAAAGGCAAATAAGAGAAGATGCTTTAGTAACAATCTTATCTTTAGTTGTTAATTTGATGAGCTTATTTTTTTGTTTCAGTGAGAAACTTCTATTTATACAATTTTGTTATTTATAGAAATATATATCATAAAGCTAATAAATATTTTAACTAGTAAAAGAAAATGGAACTCATACTCGAACTTATAATCGAAAAAATATCATGACAATCGCATTCACAACCACAACTACAACTATAACCGCATTGTTAATCAAGAATATTATAACGAATTCTTCAACACTACAAACACACTCGTTACATGATACCATATTAGTCAAAATTTCTTGAATTAAGAATATTATAGCGAATTCTACAATAATACAGCATTCGATGACGATTCCTCAAAAATTTGGTGCAAATTAGAAGAGAAAATGCTAGTAATGCTGATTCATTACTATTTTCTCTTTGATGACGAATCACAAAAATGATAATAATATATTATAATTCCACTTTTGCATTGCAAGCTAATTAACTGCCTTACTTCACGTGACTTATATTTTAAAATTTATCAGATATATTTGCATTCAACATTCATAGTTAATGAGTTTTGTGTACATATAATTATTATTCAATAGAAATGGCTCTTACCTTTGTTTCAATAGTCTTTCTTTACTTAATTATCGCTTTACTTATTAAACAATCAATCAATTATTAAAGAATTTTAAAAATTCTTTTTGTACCCTCACAATTTTCTTATTGACTTTCATTGACAAATAAAAAATAATAGTTAACTTACATATTTATATAGAAAATAAATACAATTCTAAAATATCTTTTCAAAACATACTGACATTTAGAAACAGCAAAAAAGGCTTGCAAGTATCTGAATGATACGAATATACTAATCTAATTAACTGCTACCCATGATAAATTCGCATAAACTAGTTGTACGGTATGACTATGGGTTCATTTTGATAATTATAATTCTCTGATGAGAAATATTATCCCATAAATGAATTATAGGTTAATCGGTAATATGATATACCCGAATTTTCGGATTCAAAGAAACAGAAATGCACCTAGGGATTCGAACTATTTCTTAATTCATCACCATCCCGGGCACTGATTTCAGCTTCAGATCACACTAAAAAAAAATGAATTATATTATAAAAAATAGAAGATACGAAAGGAGCAAATAAAGAAATGACTACAAAATCAACTTCATTAGTGTTTGTATTACATGTATTAAATCAATCAATTATTTCGTTTTTTAAAGATGGAGCCATTATTATTCTCGCTATTTCCTAAATAAAAAAATGCATTAAATGATTCACAGATTCTAGGAAAACTTCTATGGTACATAACATCTAAACTCATCAATAGATTGTATTTTCTGAATTCATTAAACTGCTTAACTAAGTAAATCCAAATTTTATCTGTGAATATGGTACGATGGGCCTTTCTTGATAATATTCACAGATTAAATTTTGGATTTATTAAACTCGCTAATATCGATATTTTTAAAAACTATTATACATATTTTTATCACATCTGATTAGAAATGATCAATCACAAGATTGTTCTGTTACTTTGGTAACACTGTACATGTACATGGTTATCATAATCGTTATCGTTATGAATGCATTGTACGTACTGATTTTTAATGATACCTGACGAAACTATTTTCATAATGACGAAAGGTTTCGTGACGAACCTTCTGACCAATCAAAATAATAACTAAAATCACATGTACAAATCTTATTCCGAATTTAAAAGAATTTTAAATCTATTACGTGTTTGATTGGCTGAAGGCCATAGACAATCAAAATTATAGCCAGCATTATGAAAAGTGTAATATATACCTCTGGTAAAATTATGCAAAAAATAAACCGTAGATTGATAACAATAAAGCTTGACTTGACATATTGTTTTTGATTTAGCTTGCCAAAATTGTCATTCTTCAGTACATTTCAAAAGTGGCCATGGCGAAAGGTTTCGTAAAAATCAATACATGTACCAGTACATATACATGTACATGTATTATTGATATTTAAATATGCATTTTACGCATCCAAAAATGGGCATCATCGTCAGGCATCCACTGGTATTTTATTGGTCAGAGGGTTTCGTCATAGGTTTCATCATTCGTCACGACATTTTCAAAATGGTTGTTCGTCAAGTATAAAATTCAATTTTAAAATCATGTTCTCAAATTAACGAAAATTTTTTATATTGCTCTCAATTATGTTCTCAGTTTTTAAAATTGTTTCAAGCAAAAAAATAAATATTACTTAGGGCTTGCTGAGAACATGACTTCTGACCAAATTATTCTCGAATAAGAGAATATTTTTGTAGCCACAAATGTTCTCAAAAATGTTGTGATGTTCTCTGAGAACAGTGAGAACATTGAATTTTACACACGGATTACATGTACGTAAATGGATACATGTATTAACGTTAACTAATACATATATTTGTCACTCCCCTAACTGTATGACATGTATTACGTATCTTGATTTTCCGTTTCTTTGTTCCACCAATTTGTCACGTTCGTTAATATTATTAATAAATGCTTTCCAGATGCTAATTCATCAGTTAATACGAAATGCTGTGATTATTCAAATTACCAAGTCGATAATGAAGTCACCGGCAAAAATAATGGTGGTGAGATTGTTATAAAATTTACTACAATACTAACATTTTTATAGAAGCAAAATATATAAATAATAATGCTGGATTTCTAGCAAGATACTACATGTAACAATTATAAAAAAAATAAAAATGTGATGAATTTGCGAAAATCAAATAAGAGCACATGAGGCAACGCATTTCCCCGATTGCAGGTTTTTAAATTTGCAAATCTTATTCTCGATAATCAGTTATCAATAAACAGTAATAGTACAATGCAATGCATATTGAAATACATGTATGTAGTACGCATTGATTTTTCACCTTACCGTTACGTCACTTCTTTAAGAACTCGAGACTTAATAACAATCAATTGACGTTTTGTTCGATAATCTCATTAAATCAAAAAACTGGTCTCGAAAGAAACATGGTACACTAAAAATACATTAATATTAATTTTGCCCTCTGAGCTTGTGCTGTGTCACATGCAATGTGAATCGTTGCGTTTTTTTCTTTTATGCAACGGCAAATTGAAGTCAAAAAGACTTTTTGTTCCATATGCAAGTAAAGTGGAAAAGCCATGGCGCCTGATTCTTTTTTTTAGTTAGCTTATTTGTATACAACAGCAGAGTTTAAATTTAATGTACTGTACGTTTTGTCGTAGGAATTATATACATGTACTAACCTATATTTGGAACTCTCGTTACATGAAGAATCTGATTTTTAACGCCCTTGTCCTACATGTATAATAGGAATTGTATGTTTAAATTTCATGTACTGCAGAACTCAGGATGACATAAAATTACATAAACTTATATACTAACCTATATTTTTCACTCTCGTTACATGTAGAATTCGATTTTTGGAAAGATATTCCATTTACGCCCCTTGTCTACATGTATGTATAATTGACGCATTTCCTCATGCATATTTGTATTTGTTTGGTTATGAGTGAAAATCCACGACCTTTTCTTATTTTGCATTCAATGTCGAGAACAACACACATGTTTTGCTTGCTTAATTTAATTATCTCTTCATTTTTATTATTCTTTATTGCTTTTTTTCAACATAATTGACAATAATATTTTTGGCTTTTGAATACAATTGTCATTCTAAAAACTATCTATCCATCTCTGGATACAACAACAGCTGGATATAACGACATCATAGAAATATAGACATTTCATGTAACGACACCAACTATAGACAATGACATAATGATCATTTTTCTGGTGTCCCGGCCATGTCGTTGATCCAGAGGTATTATACCCCTATCTGGGTAACTTTGAACTTCTTGGCTCGTAGAACTAAAAAAATGGGTGCCAACATGGAAATTGTGTATATGTAATACAAAATGCTAAATACAGGCTACATGTATAAAAAAGGAATCTGAAATTCAAATATATCTTGCTATTGTTGAATACTGTAATACTGTTTAAGCAAAATTAAACAGAGTACGTAGTACGTATAATTATTAATTTATCTATCGCTATTATCTAATTCGATCTTTTGAATTCTTTTATAAGAAATAATATCGATATTTAAAAAAATTGAAGACATATTATGATAATCTGTCTAGATTTATTCGGGGGTGAACGTATTTTATTTTTAGTTATTTTGTTTATTCATATCGATACTATATGATGAAAATAAAAGCTTTATACTGTATATCGATATATACAGTTGGACTTGCACAGTTGGTTACGTAGTCAAAAAATTTAAAAATGTGATGGAAAAAAGTTGTGATTGTATAGAGGGTTTTTTGTTCTTTTTTTTTTTAAGGCAGTGATTGTATAGAGGTTTTAATATGGGTGTATATATACCGATACATAATTATTATTTATCGTTATTATTGCATACATAAAAAAAGCAAGGAATCTTTGTTAATGGTTTCTAATATTAAATTAAATATAATAATGAGTGTTTCTAATATTGAGTTAAGCAACAAACAACGATATATTTGTACCGCAGCATCAGTCTCTTTGTTGTCCTTTTTTGATAGATAGAAGAAATAATAATGTCGTTATTTATTATAGAATCAGAACAATCGTTATCTGTATATAAAGGGCGGCTAAAAATACATAAAATCAACGCGTAGCTACCTCCTCGTTGGTCATAAAACCAATACTTAAGAAAATTTCTCGTTCCTTTTATATACTTCACGTGGTATATTATATACTGTACGTCGTAATTTATGCTAGTTACTTGCATAAATCCACAAGTCAAATCAATAATTCCATTCACTTCTTTTTATAATGACAAACATAAACTTCGTCAATATGCCGCCAATTCGCCAGCATCAACAATTATCTAACGTTGAAGCAACAGAAAACATTCCGCCAAGTTCACTTGATCCAATCGACAATAATAATAATAATAACGATAAAAATCGACGAGGTAGACGCTCACCAAGCATAGATACAAGAGCGTCAAGGGTTGGCGTAACTAATTTTATAAACGTGATTAAAAATTTACATCCTGGTGAATCGAGAAATCATTTTCCAATTACACAAGAAACACTTCAAGAATATATCGATTCAAAAAGGAAAGCATTAATAAAAGCAGGCTCACTCGAACAATATCTGCAACACATACAAGCTTACAATATCGCATTAGGTTTTGGCTGGCAGGGTCAAGTCTTTGGTCCTATAATAAAGAAAGCATTAGACGAATTAAGAGATCATGAAGAGGAAATTCAGATAATTTATCACCATAATCATCTTCATCAACCACAAATTACGTTTGCGCCAATAGAATTTAATACAACTGTTACGACTGCTAATACGACAACTCCTGCTGCGGATGTTATAAATATGTTGGTAGGAATGGATGTTGATGGTAGGTAATTAATTAATTAATTAATTAAAGTATATAATTCAAATTTCAAACAATTTACCATAATCATCTTCACCAACCGCAAGTTGCGGATGTTATAAATATGTTGGTAGGAATGGATGTTGATAATAGTAATAATAATGTAGCAAGACAAAATAATGGTAGGTAATTAATTAATCAATCAATCAATCAAGTTTTATTCTATGAAAATTATATAATGATTCTGATTCTAATTCTAATTCTAATTTTAACCAAATAAAAATCAGAACAATCAAAAACAATCCCAGTAGTCTGTTTCGATACCACATCCAATCCGTATGTAATGATGAGTCAGCAAGTAAATGTGTCGCTTAGCAATTTAAACTTCACCGATTCATTTCAGAATTTACGTCAACTCTATGTGAATATTGCATCATTAAACCTTCCATCTCAATGGGACGCTGTTGATATTTCTCATCTTCATTATCGAATTGGTATTTTGAATAATTCCGAGCATTTCAGAATAACCGATGAATCTGAATTCGCCCGCTTCTGGGAAACATTTACTGGTGATATTAACAAACGCGACAAGCAGGTTCAGTTGGTAGTGTATCGAAAAACAAGAAGATTACACCATGCAGGTAATTAATTCGACTAACTTGTTTATTAATAGTTATTCAAACGAAACGTTTCAGATCAATAAATGCTTTGCAAATTGTATTTATTATTAATTATAAGCTAACTGTTTTGATAATAATAAATGTCAACCTCAAACCCCAGAATCATCAGCTAGTGCTTCTTCTCCACGTCTTATCGGATCGACTTCAGGTGAATCATGGTTATTTGTAGATCTTGGAATTATGTGTGCATGTATATATATAATCCATTTACAATTGTTTACTATATATAGAAACAATCTTAAAGTCCGTAACAATAAGATCCAAGTCAAAAATTTACAAACAAAACATTGCTATGGGTGAGAACACAACCTTCGCATCATTGATTACTTTCGCAACTAATAAAGCAATACCTCCAGTGGGAAAACAATTTGTAATTCGATCCATTGATGAAACATTCGAGTATATACCTGATGATTTGGTAAAAGAAGTGATAACAGGAATAGAGCATGCAGAACTTCTTGTTACGCTGGAAGAAGTTGGTCCTATTGATTTCGATTATTTTTAGATCTTAGACTACTGAAATTAATCCGTATGTGACCTGTTTGTTAATAATTATTGATTTGAATTTTTTTATATTCGTAATATACTTTTTATTTTGTGAGAATATGAAGAGATTAATACATATATAAGCGTTATTATATTTATTTATGAATTTATGTATTATATGCATTTGCATACAAACAAAAAATCATATGTATTACTTAAACTAGGTTGTTATGATGTTTTTCCAAACAAATACTGCTATCCCTATAGTTCCAAAAACAAGTATCTCATTAATTTTCCCTGCAAAAAGGAATGATAGTAAAATTACTTTTGAATTTGAGTAATGTGCATTGTTCTTCACATTATTAGTTCCTAAGCTGAATGAACTCACATAAATTTTTTTATTTATAATCGCAGAATCAAAATTGTAAAACTCAAACGTTTTTGTTCAAACATGAATTGATCAATCTTTTAATTAAGAACAATTTTTTCAGATATTTTCTTTATAATGTTTCAAAATAACACAATACTCGATCTCGAAATAAAAGATAAAATCAGAATCATTAAGTCAAAATACGGACATCAAAAGAATCATATGCTGTCATCTAAACGTTGACCTAAAAAAATACAAAAAATAAAGCAACAAGCAGAACCAATTCTTATAACTGAAAGGTAAAGAATAATTTACAAGTATTCTTTGAGTCACGTATCTAATGATATTGTGACTCCGCTTCTCCCGTAACTTTATCTTTCACCTATTATCCTTCTCTTATTCACACAACCAGTCGGTCCGGCCGAACTGCCCGAATCTCATTGCCATCAATCTCGGCCTGAGATTTTTTCATCAATTCATATCACTAATACTGATACAGACTACGAAATCAAAATGAATAAATAATACTGCATCTAGAGAATGAATTTGTAAATGATTACAGCTACATAATGATAATGCATTTTTATTATCATGACACACGTAGGGGCTCGTAATTTTCATTCATAAATTCCTTTATTTTTTTGAAAAAAAGTATCTGTATGCATCAATAATGGTAAATGAATTCCATATTGGGAGCTTTGATTACACATGTACATATGAAAGAGTGACTAATACATGTACATGTATATTGACAAAACTCGTTTTTTACTGGTGCACATCTATATGCAAAACACAGATAAAAAAGAACCTTATCGTTAAGATTTTATTCCACTACTTTGACATGTACAATTTTGAAAACTTAAACTGAACAGGTGTATTAGAAATTGGTATTAAAATTGAAATTGCATGCGTCACATTTTCTTTCTTTTATATCGCAAAAGCTTAGACTAAAAAAATATTGCAAAACTATATGCAATATACACGAAAAATCTGACATGACACGTAAAAGGTCACTTTTTAACAAACATATAAACACGTAAGTGAGTAAGTGAATTATGAAAATACAGGATCACCGCTATTTCAATGACTATAACGATATCGATAAGGGGTTATAGCATAAACTGTATGTATTAGATAAATATTTAATATAACATATATTCCGAACCCATGCCCTAACTCTTTTCCAATCAGTCCATGAAATCGATTGTTGGTGAATTAGATTGTCAGTGATATGTCGTCGGTGAAAGGGGTACATCCCATGTGATTTATGTATTTATTTGTCCATAAAAAGTGACCGTTTACGTGTCTTTTACAGAAATATCATACTTTTCGTATATTTACATTCTTTTTTCTCTCATTGTGACAGAGTAGCATCAGGATGTTTTTGAAAGTGTCAACCCTATGTTATTTTACATTTTTAATTATGTAAACAATACTACAAGTTTAGAACAATACATTGATTAACATATCAACTGCATTGTTTAATGCATATTATGTTGTTTTACACCAACTTTACTAATTAAAGTGTTAACTAACATATGAACTTTCAAATCGAAAAGATGTCAACTTCTTAACTAAGAAGTAAATCCAAAATTTGACTGGTAATATTAAATTCCCTAATTCCATAATTTTCACATTTATTTTAACATTTATTTTCACATTCAAAATTGTGGTGGCTGAAGCTGAAACCTGTATTCTTTTATTTTTAAAGATCTCTCATCTGTAATAAGTAACATCTTTTATTTAATATAATTAATCTCTCATCGCTGAAGCTGAAATTAACGCATCCTATTGGCTGATCAATTTTTATTCTCTAATTTCAATTTCAGCATCAACTAATGATACCTGACGAAACTATTTTCATGAAGACGAAACATTTTGTCACGTCATTCGTCAGACGAAACCCCTGACGATTGACGAAACCTGTGACGAGTGACGAAACTAGTAACGATTGATGAAACAAGTGACGAAACCTTCTGACCAATCAGAATAATAGCTTAATCACATGATAATTGATGAAACCTTCTGACCAATCAAAATAATAGCTAAAATCACATGTACAAATATACGTACAGTGTGGGACACTAAAAGCCATCCACAAAAATTTGATCGATACAAATTGAAATTTCACATTCAAAATTAGATAAATTTTTATTTTTTTTATAGAAACTATTCTTCTTTGGTCTATCTACATTTTCTATAAAAAATATTTAGTGTAAACAAATTAGAAAGTTTTTTATATCAGTTTGAAATTGTTCTATTTTTATAAGTAGGCTCCAAAATTGGCGTTTTAATTGACCAATAGAAATACAAGCACGTGATCAGGATAATCATTAGCGTTAGAAGTTCACGTAAATGTATCTTTATACGTGTATCTTTGTTCACACGCGTAATAAAAATCAATAATTAAATAATTGAATTAATTTTTAAGTGTAAATTTATCCTTCACATTTTTACATATCGATATCCATTTATCTATATATTAATTACAATTTTTAATATGGGTCGTCTTAAAAGAAATACGATAGTACGTCATATTAATGCTGAAAAAGCAAGAAAACTTAGAAAACTTGAAAACGCAAAAAATAATCTTGTGTTAAATAGTGAAGATGATGCATCAAATAGTGATAATAATGCATCAAATAGTGATAATAATGCATCAAATAGTAATGAAGATGCATTAAATAGTGATAATGACATACCCATAATCGATAATGCATATGATTTGGAAGAGGAGAAAGCCGTGGAGACTGTTTTTGAAAAACTTGCTCAAAGTTCACGTTGGAGATATACTGGTAATTCTAATCGTACAAGACAACGAAAGTTAAGAGAAAATAAAATAGCTGCCAAAGATTGTCATCAAATAACGCAATTTTTTCATAACATAAATAATATAAATCGAAATAATGAAGAAATAAACGATCAACAATCAGACTATGAAAGTGAAAATGATCTCTTAGAAGGATCATTATAATGAAAACAACAACTTCAAAAAACCATTCAAAGAATACAACAAATAGTTGATACCACGAATATATCAAAGTCCAACAAAATAAAATATATCTCTGTTATTCATTATTTACGACTTCTTCAATATGACACACCTAAAATGAAAGCAAGTCAAACAATTGCAAAAATTCATAATGGTGGTGAGTATCGAGCAAGATGTATACGAGCATGGGCAAAAAAATATTTGGAAGGAAGTCTCTTACCTTTATCTCAACGTGGAAAACATTCATCAAAATCGCTTCTTTATGATGAATATGTTTCCTTAAGAATTGCACAATATTTACGAGCAACCAAATTCAAAGTAAATCCGTGGCTTGTAAAGCAATTCTTCGAAACACAAATTCTTCCAGAACTTCATATTGATCAAGCACAAACAATTTCTTTGCGTACAATACGACGTTGGTTAAGAAAAATGGGTTTTTATTATATACGATACAAAAAGGGTATATATATAGATGGTCATGAAAGAGATGATGTTGTAATATATCGTCAGGAATTCTTACAAAAAATGTTAAAATATGAAAAATTAATGCCCAAGTGGAATGATGTTAATTGCGAAATATGTGAAGAACCATATCTTTTATTTGGTGAAAAAAAACATATTCTAATTACTCACGATGAATGTACCTTTCATTCTTACGATGGTGTTCAAGAATTCTGGGCACCAAAAGGAGAGCAACCATTAAGAAAAAAAGGACTCGGTCAAGGACTTCATGTTAGTGAGTTCCTAATAGAGGATATTGGTCGATTAAAAGATGAAGAAGGGGAGGCAAGAATAATAATGCAATTGGGTGCAAATCATGATGGATATTGGGACGGAAAAAAATTATTATTTCAACTGAAAAATGCCATAAAAATCTTTGAACGAACACATCCTGGATGTATTGGAATTTGAGCATTCGATAATGCAACAAGTCATATCGCCATGGCACCCGATGCACTAGTAGCAAGCAGAATGAATCTAAATCCTGGTGGTGCGCAACCAAAAATGAGAAATACGATATGGAATGGCGAGATTCAGCAAATGACATATCCAAATGATTATTATATACCTTCTTTACGATCACAACCAAAAGGAATGAAGGCTATTCTTATTGAAAGAGGACTTTGGAAAGACAAAATGCGAGCAGATTGCAAGACATGCAACCTGAATTCTGATATAATCGATTGTTGTGCACGTCATCTTCTTGCGAATCAACCTGATTTTTTGGCTGAACGTGGACTAATTCAACAAGAAATAGAAAAATGCGGTCATAAAGTTAGTATATTTTATAATAAATATGAAATATAACTATTTACAGCTAAATCATATACAATATTTATCTTTAGGTGATATTTTATCCTAAGTTTCATCCGGAACTTAATTATATTGAAATGTATTGGGGTGCAGCCAAAAGATATACACGGGAAAATTGTGACTATACATGGAAAGGACTGAAAATGAATGTGCCAATTGCACTTGATTCTATTCCAGTAGAAAGGATCAGAAAATATGCAAGACTTTCTTACCGGTGGATGGATGCGTATAGAAAGGGACTAACAGGACAAGCAGCCAAATATGCTGTTAAACAGCAGAAAAGTCATCGTTCAATTAGTGAAAGTATAATGCATCGAATTAATGTTGTTTTAAATTAGTTATTCTAATAATAGTATTTAGCGTTACCATTTTCTTTTTCTTTTTGCCATTATCATAATTTGACAACACATAACGGTAATATTATATGCATAATTCTGAGTTAACTTTGGAAAATCTAATATTATTAAAAAAAATGATCACGTTATAGATCTCAAGAGTTCTGATTGGTCAGACCAGTTGTTACGTTATAAGATCTGCAATTTGGAATTTGGCGCTAGGGCGCAGTACTTGATGGCTTTTGGTGTCCCACACTGTATTAAAAAAAATGATCACGTTATAGATCTCAAGAGTTCTGATTGGTCAGACCAGTTGTTACATCATAAGATCTGCAATTTGGAATTTGGCGCTAGGGCGCAGTACTTGATGGCTTTTGGTGTCCCACACTGTATAAAATATTGCTTGAAATATCTATTGAATTGATACCAAGAATTAAATTTTAAAAGCTTCTTAATATTGTACATGTGCTTGTGAAAGATGAATTAATTGGCAGGATAATCATTTACAATCGATTGTAATCGATTATAAATGATTACAATCGATTGAAATCGCTGCAAATCAATAGACAATGGGTAATCGATTATAATAAATAATCATTTATCATTGATTATTAATTATTGATGAGAATCGATTATTGATTGTAAACGATTACTTATTATCTATCGATCTGCAGCGATTACAATCGATTGTAATTATTTACAATCAATTACAATCAATTATTTAAAATCAATAATCATTGATTATAAATGTTCACCGATTCTAAACAAAAAATCGATTATATTTAATTTTAATAATCATCGATTATATCTGATTGCAATCAATTATAATCAATTATTAACAATCAATGATAATTGATTATTAAATAATAATCGATTATAATCAGATATAAAAATTTCCTGATAATTATTAAAGTTAAAAGTAATTGATTTATTAGAAAATAAAGACTTTATTAGTTCTAATTGTATTTCAATTAATTATATATTTGATTGATTGAGTAATACTTGTTTATAATTTTTTTTAAAGATTTTGATAATGAATTTTCTAATTTGCACTTTACAGTTTTCATAGTTTATGTTTATTAAACTAATAGAATTAAATTACTTTATTATTTTTACTATTGTATTCTTTGATAATGTGATTTTTTTTAAAATATAAGTTATATAAGAAAGTTTCTAATAGTTTTTATTAGATTTTGCTATTTCATAATATGAATTTTTGTAATATAATAATTATCAAGTTAGTTTCAGTTTTGAATATTATTCAGACAAACTTTTAATATTGATATTTAATAAATAACTGGGAAATAAAACAAGATTTTGCTTTAATTTTGATTAAAATATTATCTAGTTTATAGATAGTTATTAATATTGGTTAATCAATTTGACTTTGAATCTGTCATATAATGTTATTGTATTTTGTTATTTAACTAATAAAAGAATGCATATTCTATTATTTTCTAAAAGAATAAACCAGTTATTGATTGCTATTATTGTATTATTTTCAAATAAAAATTTTATTATTATATATTCTTATTTATCTCTAGTGATTATATAAAACTATAATATAGTTAGTATTAATTGAATATTCAAAATCTGGTTTAATTTTGATTAGTTATTTTTTGTCAATATCTATATTACAACCAACTATTTTTTGAATTGAATTCTGTACAAATGAATTTGAAATTATTAATAATTATAGTTTTTATATTAATATATTGATACAATTACTTTAAATGAAGAGTTTTTTCACTTTTGATAAGAGAATTATATGAATTAGAAGAGAGAAATAGATTAATAAAATTGATCAGTACAAAAATAAATATTTAAGTCAGTACCAATTTTGATAGAAATTATTAAACAATTCTATTAAAAGATAAAAAAAGATTAGGAAAATGTGTTTAAAGTAATAATTAACTAATAGAAATTACTAACTAAATATAAAGATATTGATATTTATATACTTGTAATCATATATTCTAATGCTTTCAATACTGAAAAAAATAAATTACTAAAAGAAATATCACTTATTTAGAGTTACAGTACACAACTATATAATTTAATATCACTTATTTAAAATTATAGTGCACAAATATACAAAATAATACTATAGCAATATACTTTATTCAAAATATTTTAATTATCTTTTCCAAATTTAAAGACAAAAATATAATAGTCAAAAATTCAATTTTATATAAATTAATATTCAGTTTCTTGATCTTATTTAAGATTTATAAAAAGTGACTTGAATTACAAAATTTGAAGTTCAATTAACAAACTATTTTTGCCAAATAACTTAATTTAATAGAAGAAGATACAAGAATAAATATTAATTTTATAATAATAAGGTAATCATTAACTTATTATATTAAAGATTAAAATTTATTAATTTGTTTGAAGCATGAGAGAGTGTGCTAAGACAGCACTTCTATTTATACAAAATTTCTTAATACATTTTAATACTTATTTATATTACAAAATTATAAAAAGAGATATATAAAAAAGATAAAAAAGATAGAAGTAAAGATAAAAAAGGTAAAAAATAAAGGTAGAAAAGATAGAAAAAATAAAGCTAGAAAAGATAGAAAATAAAAATAGAAAAATAAAAAATAAAAATAGAAAGGTAAAAATTATTAAATTAAAATAATGAATAATAATAATTATATGATTATTAAATAACTAATATATGTAAACTATTTTAACAATTTGTTGTTTTGTTATTATTTTTAGAGATTTTCACTATTTATGAAAGATTTATTAATTAAGGAATTTTTAAAAATAAATATAATATTCAATCCATCTTCAAAAATTTTGTTTTACAAAATTTTAAAGATTCTTTCAGAATTTTTTAATTTCATATTTTTTCATTCATTGAATTTGAGTAATATTCAAAGGATTATTTTATTATTAAATCTGATTTTTATCATTAAATATTTTATAGACATTTTGAGCAATTATGAAAGATTTTTCTTCAATATATATTTTAAGAAATTCACTAAGTTTGTCCTTTAATTTATATTGTTGAAGTTTGTATTTCTTTGAAGACTTATTAATTAGTTTTCTGATCTTGTAACAAATAATTGTTCTTTCAATATTTTCTATTTTTTGATATATACTCATCTAAGTATTTTTTTGAGTTATGATTTTCAAATTTCCAAATTAAAAGATTTTTCTTTAGATTTCTCTTGAAGTATTTCTTCAATGAGTTCTTTTTCTTTTTGAGTTGATATATAAAAAGATTCTTCTCTATTATTGTTAATTGTTGATTCATTAGTTATAATGAATAATTCAAATAATTTTTTTAGATTAATTAAATCTTCTAGTTTAATTTCATTA